GCTTGCCACCAGCAGTTCTAAATCTTTAAGACGAATTTTGAGAATGGTAGTCTACAGGTTTCAAAATACATTCATCTCTGTTGCGTCATGTTCAGTGGACAAAGCTATTCGAGAAACCTTTTGATCCTTTAATTTCAAACGAGCCCACTGCATGTTATGTCGGATAGGCAAAGGAAACACTTAATGTATCACAAGTGTCACTCAATCGTCAAATTACTTTCGGGAAGCTGATCGAATAATATTGTTCGAGATAGCTTAAAAACTACAGTAACAATAAGAAACAATAAGCTACATTTTACATAGGTTTTTTTTATTTATTTATTTCATTTAAGAGTTGTTTCATCCTGTTAGAAACAAAAAAAACAAAAAAAAAAAGGGAAACGGCCCTTAAACCAGTTTCCACTTTTTTTAAGAATTCCGACATGTTATTAAGTTAAAAGAATCTTCCTCCATAGCTATCCTAGATCAATGTGGAAGTTACTTATTAATACCTAAAATAATTAACAACAATTGACTGACTAATTGTTGTTTCCTTTCTTTCATTTTACCTGATGCTCAAAAGACGGTAAGTGATGAAAGGATGTAATCTACATTAGGAACTATTGGGAGCTTGATTTGGTTTGAATTTATGACTAATTTTGGACAAAATATACTTGTAAAGTAACACAATGCTAAGGGTAGGTTTCTATTGTCCGTTTTAGCACAAAGTTCTATTCTCAGTTGGTAGAGAGCAAACCATTTACTATAATTATTGTATTTTTGTATTGTGGGACTGTATTTTCAATAAAGAACACAGAAGAATTTAGTTGAGGTAGGTGGATATGGGGTTGTAAATGGAAGAATTTAGGGACAGAATATAGGTGCCTAACAAGATCAGAACACAAGCAATATTTTAATGAATCATATGTTGTCTGAGTAGTACTCTGTAGTAACATTACTTTAACATTGCCAATAATTTTTTACCCACCAAGATTTACAATTGACCTGGGGGTTTTATTTAACAGAAAGTTCAATTGAGATAGAGTGTCACCATAATAGACTTCAGGAACAATAATCAGAGATATCACTTAAACACGACAGAATTCGATGTAAAGGCAAGCACATGATGTAATCATATGATTTAAAGTACAAGAATATTTCAAGTTTTCTTATTATTGTTATTACATACCAGTGAGTTCCCCAAATTCAAGCTATATCACTATAAAATCAAAACCCATGAAAATCCTGTGAATTTATTCATGGCAAATTCACAGATTTTTCACAGGATTTTCATGGTTAAATCAATGATGTTTTCATGGTCTCAGTGCCATGAAATAGACATGAAAAATCCCATGAGAAGCCTGTGAAAATTTGTCATATTCACGACTCATGGAACATTGTGTAAAGTGAGGTAGAAGCCATGAAATACCCATGAAAATGGCCTTTCATGGCCTTTTCAAAGGTACTGAAAAACCCATGAATTTCATGTCAAAAACAATTCACTAGGTAATGGCAAAACAAAATAATCTGATGGGCAGGACAATAGCTCTGCAATTACATCTAAAAACTTTGTTTTTCTTGGTCTCAGTGTGCATGAACAACCTTGAGGGCAAATTCTTTAAGTTTTCATCTGGGACTCAAAGCTGCTCACATAAATTAGATTATGCTGAAGTTAATATGTGACACCATTACAGACAACACCCACATACAGGCATAATGGAAAAATTCTGAATAAAAGTATAATTTTTTTTAATGTTTTCCTTTGCATTGCCCTTCTGACTGCCCAAGGTTTCTATTATTGCGGATGTTGTCTTGGTTTGTTGCTCAACATACACTCTTGTTTAGAGAAAAACTATGTTATTTAATCCTCAGTCAGACAAGGTCAGCATGTTGCAAAAGCTGAGGACGGTGACGGAGACACAGCTTGGTAAGTCATTCACAGATATTTATTTTGTTGCCTTTTCATCTTTGACTTTCAGCCAATACATCTTACTACAAAAAATCTGATCTGTCAAGAGAATTCAATCAACATTCAATAGCATGTGAAGTTGACACAATAACTGCAATCTCAGCAGCAAGTATTGCATAATGATCATGTCAAGTTCAAAGTCTGCTTAATTTCCAAGCCCCTCCTCAGTGTAGAGTTCTAAACCTTTTATAAACTCAAACATATTTAAACAAGTATTGAATGTTACACTCCCCCTCCCCTCTCTACAGGGTGGGAGGAATGCTCTCCCCACCGGTACCACCTCATCTCATTTTTTCCTGTTTTAATTCAATTTTTTTTTCCTTTTGTATTTCATTTACCTTCTTTATTGATCACTTTCTCTGTTACCCTTCTGGAGTTTCTCTTCAGAAGATAGAAATTGACCCTGTACTTCAACTCAAGTCAGCAAAAAAGTTTTGGGGAAAACAAAACTTTGTAAGTAATATCACTGACAGTACATCTGTTCAAATTTGGAGAGAATATTTTTGATCATGGCTGCAAAACAAAAAATAAATTAATATGCAGGTTTCCACTTGACTGCACTTTGCCAGTTCGACAGGTCGTTAGCTACCCTTTCTGCATCACCCCACAAATAGACAGGTCCTTAGCTACCCTTTCTACCTCACCCCACAAATTGATAGGTTCTTAGCTACCCTTTCTGCCTCACCCCACAGTTAGACAGGTCCTTAGCTACCCTTTCTGCCTCACCCCACAGGTAGACAGGTCCTTAGCTACCCTTTCTGCCTCACCCCACAGNTCAAAAGTTCCACAGCGCCTTGAAATACATCCACTTCGAGGTTTGTTTAGTTTTTTTTAACAAAGCAAAACAAAGTAAAACAGTTTTGGACAAATTCAGCCAATTCTTGGTGATCATTTCCTTTATTCTCAATACCCTACTGTTTGATTCAGGGTTGATATTGTAAGGAGAAATTAGATTTTAGTCAGCCTAAGGCATCAAAGGCCTCAATGATTGGGGAACAATTTTCCCTGGTGTACCAAAAAATGTTTTTTCAACATTAATTTTGTTGTTGTTGTTTATGTTGCTTTGTTCATTTGTTTTGCCGGGAGAAATCGTGGAACAGGTCAATCACATTATCAAGTCCAACATGAGTGGGAAAAAAGATCAGAATACTGTCTTGTCCTCAAAAGAAAGAAAATCTGACAAAAGAAGATATTTAAGATCATAGCCATTGTAACAAGAACTACTGAAGCTTACTCACACTATTAAATGACCGATCAACAAAAATTATACTGTATTTCCTCAAATAAATGCCCACACTCCAATGAACCCCCCCCCCCCCTTAGCCACAGAGTCCATAAAGCAATCTCCCTTGTCCCTAACTCGCTTAAATCGTAGGGATACAAGAAAAACCTGTTTCGATTATTGCGACTTTAGATCATTTTAAACCTACAGCAGTCATTACCGGAGAATAACAAGTGCCCCCCTTGATTAGGCACCCTTCCTACAGTAAATGCCCCCTCTTTTACCCAACATTTTTCGAGGAAGTACATTACCTAATTTTAGAAACTCCCCTCAAGTTTAAACAAATAACACAGTAGTTAACAACAAGTCTCTGCAAGAATCAAACATCTTAGGAAATCAAAATTTTCAACACCCCTTCAAATTTTGCATGCAGTTAGGCACTCGGGGGAGATGCACAAAAATGCCCATTTTTAAGGTTGCAGCACTCTTGTTGTCATGATAACAATGGCTGCTTGTTCAAGGCCTGAGTCATGTCGCCCGTAATTTGAGTCACGTTACCGAAAAAAAAAAACAGTCGAAATGACTCTCGGGCGACGTAACCCGTTACCACTTAAAAATATTTACCGGGCCAAAGAATGGTCCAAAACTGGCAAAGCTCCACTGAAGTCAGATCACGTGTGCAAATCGCAGTAACATTCACCAGACTGTTCACCCGATCTCCTTCCGTTGCTTTAAGGTGTGTAAGACCATCGCTTTCCAAATCAAGTATCCTTCCGTAGATCTACTCTTCATTTAAAGCACCTAGAAGTCTATCTCAATCGGGACGGAGCGGAAAATTGCAACCCTTGAAAATCTCAAAACTCGCGACCAGTTCAACGGGAAGTTCGCAGTCACTTATGCTTGGACAACAGGTGTGAACGCAGCTTTATTAGGAAGCACGCTCGCCCCATGTTTTAATTGTTGTTTAACACGTTTGTGGGTAAGAAACATTAAAATCAAAGCTCAGACAACATCTCCCAAATAGCTGCATTTATTACAACCAAATATAGTTTGATGTTTTACAACATGCAATTAAAGATATGTAAATCCTTTTGTGGGCGTTCCCTTGCACTTTCTTGTGAACTGCACCTATTTATTGAGGTTTAAATATGGCATTACTGTTCGTGTAGTGGTAAGTTTGAAAACTCTGCAAAATAAGTTCCATGGTCTGATAAGCTGTGAAATTTTACTCAGCCAAATCAATTTGTAGAGAATTTTAGGCCATGAGACAATTTTAAGTGGCGCATTCCGTTGTGTGATACAATAGAGAATGGCATCGTAAAAGTAAGAACAAAAACAAATGGTTTTGAGGGTGCACGGACATAAGGTGCATGGAAATAATCTCGTGCACCTGAAAATTCGCGCGCTCCTTAAATTTCATCCATTGCAGACCTCAGACCTCATTCTCGTTACCAGTCCTTTTTATTTTTGCATTTTTGGTCACCTAGCCATAGCAACCGAGTTGCTCTGAGAACGAGAATATGGAGACACCATTTTCTTTGATATTTACCGACTTGCAGTGCGTAAGGAAGAATTCGCACTGAGAAAAGTGACTGTTTTTAGCGTATATGAATTTTAGTTTCTGTCTTACCCTTAGAATCAAGCTCTCCGTCTCGTTTCGCGTCAAAAGCTACCACATATCGGTTAGCAATCAGCAGAGAGATATCAAGTCCTTGCGCCAACTCATCCGGCGTAATACCACCATCTCCATCTGTGTCCATAGTTTCAAATGTACCATCCTGAAGAGATTTAAAAGTTTCTATAGTTTCTAAAAGAATTGTGGTACTGTGTGGTGGAGGGGGGGAGGGGGGGTGTGAGAGATTGGTTTAGGTATAATTATACTGAAACAGTGCATGGCATTGAAGATGTGCTCTGACTGGCTACTCAAACTTAACTTGAATATCCTTTGCTATTTATCTTCCAGCAACTCACGCAGAATATGCGCCCGAAAATGTTGCATTCGTTGCAGGAATGAGTGAGTTAAAATCATCNCACCCCTACTTCGGTCGATAGTTTATAATTACCAAGTGAGTTGCCCATGTAAATCAGCTTCCGTAAAGACTTTTCAAAGCTGAGGTTCTGAGCTTTGGCTCGTCGCTCTGATTCTCTTGTGGTGAAGGGCAAACGCTCCAAAGGTCAGCCTTAGAAACTCTTTCTGGCGGCCGACAGATGCTAACTCAGTAGACGTAAAAATAGCTGTTTCACAACCTTTCAGACCCCCCTCCTTCTTTATCAATACCCTGAGAGAATTTTAGTTCCCCTTCCAGATGCTACATCCTAGATCCTAGAGTCCCCGTCTCTTCTGGTAACTGATTACAAAAGTGAAAACAAGTTGATACGGGGGCGCAAATATATATAGTGCCTTCATTGAGCATGCCATTATTGGTGTCTTCTTTCCCGGCCAAAAATGCAAAGAGCAAAGACATCAGCGTTTTCAAAAGTTCCACAGCGCCTTGAAATACATCCACTTCGAGGTTTTTTATTTTTTTAACAAAGCAAAACAAAGTAAAACAGTTTTGAACAAATTCAGCCATTTCTGAATCCCCTTCTTGCTAATCCTTTTATTCTTCTCCTGGGATAGATGGACACGCCCTCAATGTTAAGAAATGTACGATAACTTACCTCATAATTATCAATCTCTCTTTCGTCCGAAGTCACGACTGGCCTCCCAAATGCGCTGGCTGCCAAAGCCAACAGTGCGCAGAAAATAAAAATCTTTGTATTTTTCACGTATCTCAGTCGCCTTCGCTTCTGTAAAACATAGAAAAAAAAGACAAGTTCAATACACAACCAGGTTAATACATACATACACACATAACCTTTATTTCTGTGTCTAATGGTTCCAACGCCAAGGCACTGAAAGGGGACACTAACACATACAGTATGTTGCAAATTTGGTAAAAATATTGATTGAATGATAAAATGTCGATAAAATGATTAGCAATTAATACTGATTAAAATATTGGATAAAGTATTAATTAATTAATAATAACTAATTCGAGTATAATCCCTAAGAAAAGATGCACTCTTAACTACTATTTCGATCTTGACAAATCTCTTAAGTTTGCTACAACACTTTTTATAATCAAAACTATATGACACTATTTTAAGACATTTATACTCTAAGTTGTGGAGAGATAACAAATCGTTCCACATCCATTTACTTCATGTTCAGCTGATAAATCTTTCTTTCGTATCATCGCTCTCATTATCCTTTCCTTTTTGGTTAGCTTTTCCCGGAGTGATGGCCCTAAATAGCTGATCGAATGCTGGCCATGAGTGACAGTGCGATAGCGCACCCGCCTGAAGTCACAGCTTCTTAAATTATATTTTTCTTACTTGTTCACAGTTTAATTGGAATACATCTGTTAAGGACGTTGCTGTAAGTCCACCTTTGACTTTATCCATGAGGACAAGTACACCTTGTAGCCCTCTATTAAATAATGGTGTCACTTTGGTTTCTTGAAGTAATGTTCCATGTGTATCCGATGTGATATTAAATATCGCCCATAAAGCTCTTTCCAGTTGCCTTTCAAGTTTTCTCCAATCCGAGGCTCGCGGAAAAATGCCGTACTAAGTGGCAATAGAGTAGCGACAGAAACTTTCCACTTCCACGCCTAACGAAGACTAGAAGTATGGCATTCGAAACGTCGTGGTCAACCCACGACTGGTTAGGCAGACTCTTATATCGTGAGACAAATGATTAACTGTTCATTGATAAAAAAATATCTCGTTTCATCAGGAATCAGGAATAACTTGTTTATATCGAGAGCTAGGAAAGAAACCCGACAGTGTTTATAGGACAATAGACCCACTCCATTGTCAGGAGATTTCATTTTAACGACCAAACCTTGGCGTTAAAAAAAACTACGTGGTCTTCGCGCATTTAATTATGTCGTCTGTTTATTCCCTATTTGTGTAAATTGCTCCGTTCCTTTGTTCCAATTCTTAATTCAGCACTAAAGAGACGGTTCTAACACGAAAGCTTTAAAGAAACGGTTCTAACGCGAATCACCTTGAAATTAGATTCCATATGCGCTGCTCGCCTCCTGACTCCAGATAGTAAGCAAAATTCAAAAGATTTTATTTACCATTCCAATGTAATAATCCTCATCGCCATGACACAACTGTTCCAGAAAATTAAAGTTGCTCACTGGGGAGTCGAGAAGACTAAAGTAAAAGCAATTTGCTTCAATCTGGGAGGTAATTTTGTGTTCATCAAAGGGAGAAGACAAATCAAAGTACAATAGACTCTATCTCTAAGACAAGCGCTGCTGGAACCGAATTCGTATCCAATTGTCTGACATAGGAAGGTGGCGGACGAACCATGGAAGAGAGTCAAGACAACGCGATCTCGGAAATTCTGAGGGAACAAGGCTGTTCCGATGCACATTAACTACATGCATTTCTGTTTGAAATGTTCTTCGCTAGGAAAACTGAATTGCATGTTTAACGCGTTTAAAATCTACATCCGGTTCTAGAACAAAACAAGAAATTACGAATTTCGCTTCCTTGAAAGTCTTTTTCTATATGCATTTGTATTGTATGTATGTACAGGGTAGCCCAGTTAAGCTAAGGCTGGTTTAAATGGGGCCCTGTCACACCCACCCATTCCACCCCAGGGGAGGACATCCACCACACAGTAATCTCGTGCAAGGCTCGAACCCTCGACCTCCTGCACAACACAATCCGGCGCTCTAACCAATTGAACTAACCGTGGGACGGTTATGTTAATAGGGTTAAGTTATGGTAAACTGATTGAAAAACAGCGCTTATATAGATTTTCGTTCCTCTCCACCCCCCTAAAAAATCGACATTCCAAATTAGTAGTGATTGAGGTAGTAGTAGAATTGGTGAACTAGTAGTAGAATTGAAAGTGGTCAGAGAATAAATTGATTAGCGATGGGTTCGAAAAATAATTCAGATGTAAAGGAACATGAGACAAAAAATCAAAACAAAACAAATGAATGAAAGAAAAATAGGCTAGGAGCAATGATGGATGGGCAAAATATTCTTTAGGAAAACAAATTTTTGTTTGTAAGGAACCGCGAATCATCCATAAAACGTTAATCACTGTAGAGATTCAATTGATTTAAACCAACTTTGAGGAGCTCATAGAGACATTAATCACTGTCATAATGTCCAAATTTAGCATGTTACTAGGACAGCAAAATAAATAATAATATTAAGAATATATAATTCTATCGCTGGTTCTCTCAGTGGAAACATCCTTATCCTACTCAATCCAAACTGAGGCCATGATCGTTCCCTTCAAAGCCTCCAGTGTTGCTCTACATGCTACCGATTCGATTCGTTTCGTGGGTTTTCCCCTTCTTTTTTTTCCTTTTCTCCCCTTCACCCAGGCCCTCTCTTGGCTCAGCATGAGGGAGAGAAAAGGGACCCTGGGAACAAGTCTGACTATCTTTACGACCTCAGGTCAATATTCCCCAATACGCCCCTTGTCCTCGGTTACTGAGAAGCTCTTAGCGTCCATTGCTTTAAAACAATTATCCCAGAAGTGGGTTTCAATAAAAAAAAAACAAAAAAAACAAAAAAAAAAACTAAGCGCTACCCCGGAACAAATATTACAAAATCAGTCAACGAGAGCGAGCCAAATATATGGGCATTATTGACCAAGTGTGAGGTCAAGATGGTGAGATATTGGCTGAGTTCCTGTTTTGCGTTTTTATGGACCGAGACGAATTCGAGGTCCATCAAAACGGAAAAAAAAAGGACGAGGGGAATATCCAGCCATTCTTACCGGACAAGCTTTTTCAATTAAGGAATTTCTTACATAGCGAAGAGATTTCGCCTTTATAAGAATCGAGAATAACTTGTTCATTTCGAGAGCCGGGAAAGAAGGGCAATTGTGTTTGTAGCACAATAAACCCAAAAGGGTCGTTTATGTTTTCTTTGCTCTGACTGCCGCTTTTTGTGACTTACTCGCAAACATTTTCCAAAAGTTACGAACTTTGTAAGTCCGCTCAATCCACATTTCTTCTTGCGCGGAATCAAAGCGAGTAGTCCAGGGTGGATCGCCCATCCATCTGTTCAAATAACAACTATAACATGATTTACCACTTTATACCTGCATGATCCGGTGAAAGAATGGAAACTGCCATGAACTGAGTGTATTTGTCAAAGTTCTTTAATGGAAAGTGAATAGCCTGAAAAAAAAAAAAACTTCTGAAACTTTGAAAAGGTTCACGCATGATCAATTATCCCATGTGGATAGGCCGAAGCTATTTCGTTGCTAAGGGAAATCGAGGGAAGAAGGTGGTAAATGGCTGGTCGAATCGTTTTAGGCGGGGTTGTTTTGTAAAATGAGTTGTCTTTTTTCTCACTGACATGGCGCGTAATCTTCTTTATACCCGACAACGACAGTTTGAACAGCGTTAAGGTATTTTAAGCTTTATTTCATTATTTTATCCATGAAAAAAAGGAATGGTTTCGCAGGTTCCCTTGGTTCCACTGGTTCCACAAGTTTCGCTGATTCCGATCTGCTGATCCATAGTTTAGTAACATCCCCTAACATAGGAGGTGCGTAGCGCACTTTGAAACCTTCTGTAAGATTATTAATCGTTTCCTTGCAAAAACAGATAAAAAAGAGCACAATGAAAACCTTTATAGCTACACCCCACGGATAGTAAATATATTTTCATCACACAAGTGATTATAGATGATTTGCTTGAAAGTTCGAGTAATCTTAGCCTGAAGACACCTTTCGGAATATACAGACATTAGAAAAAATAGAGAGTTGCGTAAAAAAACTGGAAAAAATATTTGAAATTTTCTTGGTTTGACTTCATTATCAAAATCACTTGAAATTAATTTGGCTTCAGTAGCCAATCACTTTCGGAAAAAAAATTGAACAAAATCTACATCGCTTGACTACTTAATCAAACAACTTTCGCCCGAAAAGGTCACTGAAGTTTGTTAATTACCAAGGTTCTAAGTAGTCCTTTTACTAGAAAGCTCGCGTAATCTTAGGCTAAAGAGACCTTCCGGAATATACACAGAAGAAAAAATGGAGAGTTGCTTGAAAAACTGGAAGATATTTGAAATTTTCTCGCTTTAACCTCATTACAAGAATTACTTGAATTTAATTTGGTTTCAGTGACCAATCGCTTTCGAAAACAATCAAAAATTTACTTCGCTTGACTACTTAACTAACAACTTTCGCCGGAAAAGTAGGTCACAGAAAGTTCTTTAAAAGTTCATTATGAACTGTTCTTTTCTAGATCATTAGACATAGATGTCGATGATTCCTTTTCTTAGAAATGTTTTTCTGTGGGTATCAGTCTTGTAGTTTACAGACGGCGTCCTCCTACTACATAAAACCAACTGGCATCTACCGGCATTGTAAATCCAACGCATTCGGATGAACTTTACACTTGGCTCTCAGGCTGTGCAGACGACACAGGCCAATTTCTAAAGTCAAATGTCACGTTGTCGCCAATCAGTGAAGACGGAGACCATTAAGTGACTTTCACAAAGCCGTTGCTTCTCATCCACTTCCGGGTCCTGTGGAGCGATTCATTGACACTTTCCCCGCGGTACAAATATTCGTAGAAGCGGATCATGAACTGCCCTGTGGCTTTGTCGTCAAGGGCCCACCGTGCCGCTAGCACTGAGCGAGCACCGGATCCAAGAAACTCTCGAGCGATTCCAATAACTCCCTCGGTTTTAATCTCTCCATG